GGTTTTCTTCATTCTTCTTTGCTCTGGATGAGGAGAGACCCACTGTTGCATCTAGATGGCCGCTTGCAAGCTTTTAAAATTCCATTCGCTACTTGCCAAAGTAGGATGGGGAACAATGTTTTTCTGTACTATGTTATGCCAATTGAGCTTGATGTCTCTTGAGATCATGATCCCAAGCCCACACGTCCAACTACTTAAATTCATTTCTTTAAGATAGAAGGAGAAACTTTGGATTGGGGGTATCTAATAATTAAATGGAGTCTCTGGGAGGTATAAATGGTAAATGAGCTCAGCTGCTAATCAAAAGGCAGGCAGTTCAAGTCCTCCCAGAGGTGCTTTAGGAGAAAGGCCTGACAATCTACCCATGAGAAATCAGCCATTGATAACTGTGGTAATTCAGTTTGTGTGTCATCTTGGCTGGGCCTGGTTGAGTGGCTGGGCAACTGGTGGTAGTATTCCCCCATCATGAGACTGGCAATAAACTCCACAGTGGGATCTACCACAAGGAGCTGAATAGCTGCTTTTGGGATGTGGTCTGTTTCCTGTATATAAGCAGAAGCCTTGGGAAATGGTCTCTAGCTTATGGTATGATTGGACCCTGCATGTAGCCGTGTCGTTGTTCAGCAGCTTACCATGCTCTGCCGATCTTGGGACTTTCAATGGCCTTGAATAAATGGCCTGCCGTGTGGTTTGGTAACACTGGGACTGTGCCTTTTTACTTGTCAACTTTGGGTTTGTCAGCCTCAGCAGCCAGCAGCTGTCTGAGTGAAGAAACGCCTCTAGCTCCAGTGGGCCGGGAGCAGGAGGCAGAGCTGGTTGAGGGGTTTTCACCCAGCCCCTAGAGCCTGGCACTTTGAACTTGGACTTAAAGCCTCCAAATTGTGGGAGAATAAATTCCTGTTGGTTAAGGCCATCCCATTTGTGGTATGTTCTTGTCAGAGAGGCACTAGGGAACCAGAACAATAACCCTGAGATGCACAGTTCTACTCTTGACACACATGGGGTCACCCTGAGTCGGAATCAACTTGACAGTATCTGGTTTTAATTAAAAAAAAAAAAGTAAGAAAGCCTTAATAGTAATTTAAAATATTAGGTTAACCATTAGTCATGTGTGGATTCAACTCACTAGAGGAAGAGTTGGTTATATTGTCTAAAATGGAAGTCCTTAGCTGAGGGAGATTTGTTCACCAAAGGACACTTGGCAATATTTGCAAATAGTTGGGATTGTCACAGCTGGAGGGAAGATGCAATTGGCATCTAATGGTGGGAGGCTAGAAATTCTGCTCAACATCCCAGAAGGTACAGGACCAAACCCACCACCTTTGAGTGAATTCTGACTCACAAGGGACCCTGTATGACGCAGAACTGCCCCATAGGGGTTCTGAGGCTGTCCTATCAGACCGAACCGAACCGAACTCACTGCCATCGAGTGAATTTGACTCATAGCAACCCCTCCTTGGGTTTTCCAGGTGGTATCTCTATGGAATTAGTTTGCTCAATCTTCCTTCCGATGATTGGCTGGTGGGTTTGAACCACCAGCCTTCTGGTTAGCAGTCAAATACCTTAGGCACTGCGCTGCCAGAGCTCCACTTGTCACACCAGATGTTTTATATTTTTGTTGCTATAATGAATAAGATACTTTTCTGTTATATCTTCCCATTAGGTGCTCTACTTATACAGTGGTTAAAGAGCTCATTTGCTAACTGAAAAGTCAGTGGTTTGAACTCACCAGCTGCTTTGTGGGAGAAAGATGTGATAGTCTGTTTCTGTAAAGATAACAGCCTTGGAAACCCTATGGTGAAGTTCTCCTCTGTCCTCCAGGGTCACCGTGAGTCAGACTCACTTGAGTGGACAGCAGTGGGCTTGAATTCTGTGTTTTTAATCTTTATGGAAGCAGATGGCCACATCTTTTTCCTGCTGAGCAGCAGGTGGATTCGATCTTCCAACCTTTGGTTTAGCAGTCCAACGCTTAACCACTGCACCACCTGTGCTCCTGTTGGACTGAACAGTCCCCTATAATTAAGAATTAACCAGCCCAAAACGTCAGTAGTGCTGAGATGGAGAAACCCTGCTTGACGACAGTGCAACAGTGATAGTGAAAACTTGCAATTTAAAAGCTGTTTTCCATGTTAAGCTTTGGTTTGCCTTAAAAGCTACTATTTGCATGCACTGCCCCCCCCTCCGTTGTATATTGCCTCCCCCTTGGCCCAAGTTAATACATGTCATCCGTCTAGTCAGTATTTTACCCTCAGTTCTGGTTACCTAGTGCTGCTCTGACAAAAATATACCACCAATGGTATGGCTTTAACAAATATGAGTTTATTCTCTTAGAGTTTGGGAGGCTAGAAGCCCAAGTTCAAAGTGGCCAAGCTCTAGGGACTGTGTGAAAGCCCCTCAAACTTGGGCTTCAGCTCTGCCTCTTGCTCCTGGCCCACTGAAGCTAGAGACCTCTCTTCACTCAGGCAGCTACTGGCTGCTGAGGCTAACAAGCCCAAGGTCGACAAATAAAATGGCACAGTCCCAATGTCACCAAACCACATGCAGGCCATTAATTCAAGTCCATTGGCAGTCCCAAGGTTGGCAGAGCATGGCAGACTGCTGAATGACGACATGGCTACACACAGGGTTCAAGCGTGCCATAAGCTAGAGATCATTCCCAAAAGCTTTATATACTGGAAGCAGACCACATCGCTAAAGCAGCTATTCAGCTGCTTGTGGTAGATCCCAGCATGGAGCTGATTGCCAGTCTCAACATGGGGAATAACTTGGCCCAGCCAAGTTGACATACAAGTACCACACCCTCCCTCCCCCTTCCATCCCTGGCAACCATCAGAATATTTCTTTTTATTTGAAACCCTTTTCTTGACTTCTTACAATAGTGGTCTCATATAATATTTGTCCTTTTGTGATTGGCTAATTTCACTCAGCATGATGGCCTCCAGGTTCATCCATGTTGTGAGGAGTCTCGCAGATTCATCCTTGTCGTTGAACTCTGTTGTGTATATGTACCATGGTTTGTTGATCCTTTTCTCTTTGGATGGGCCTTTAGGTTGTTTCCATCCTTTTCCTGTTAATGAATAGTGCTGCAATGAACATGGGTGTGCAGAATGCCACTATTCTTAAATACTGGACTGAAAAGTAAAATTGCTTTGAGCGTCTCATTGAGTTTTTCTTTAGATTTTGTGATTGTCTTATGTTGTTGTTGTTATGTGCCGTCGAGTCAGCCCTGACTCATAGCGACCCCTCCTTGGGTTTCCGAGGCAGTATCACTACGGAAGTAGGATTGCCCAA